CCTATTCTACTGTAACTGTGATGCAGAGCCATCACTACAGGAGCCTCCTGTTTCCAGGAATCCACTTCACTTCATATATTCATTATATCTTGTACAGTGTATGGGAGCACACCTCTGAACAGCTCTTTTCTTATTGGACCGTGGCCTTAGTGCCTTTGTTGTGATTGGATACTTACAAAAGCCAGCCACCGACTCCTTGTGTCTAACGTTCCAAAGGTCTGCGTTGCAGCAATCAAATGCAACTCCTTCTATGTTATCACCTCCATGAATAAATAATACAATTAGTTACAAATGAAAAAAACTGACAGTACACATTGTGGTCCCAGAGGAGAGGTGTGAGTTTTGACGGGGGTTACAAGGGGGTGGCAGGTTTGAGGCATGTTGCTGCGATGAAGACAGATGATGAGGCTGCATTGCTGTAAACGAGTGAGTCAGCCCTCCCTTCAGACAGACACAGGCCTGCGGGGGGGGGGAGGAGGNNAGGGGGGGGGGGGGAAGGAGGAGGCGGGACAGAAGGAGAGAGACGGGGAAATGCATGGGAACTGTCCCCGGTGCTGAAATCTGGAACGGCTGCTTTCTAACAGCTTCAAGTTCAGCCCAGTGCAAAAGGGAAATAATCCAAAACAGAGGCATGCTGTCTGTCAACACCTGACCCACATGTGAGACGATCAGCAGCAGCAGTTTTAGTGTAACAGGTCAGTAACTGCCCTGCTTTCTAATGCAAGAACAACAACATAATGCATTTATCACACCTACCAGTGTTCAAAACCCACAGCGGGGGTAGAATAATGTATGCCTAAACAAAAGCTTTCCCACACAGATCCTGTCCCACGTAGGTTATTTGGCATTCTGATCACAAAGCCAGGGGACGGAGACTCTCTACCATGTATTTCTTTCTGAGCCAAGTCAGAAAGATTCTCATTAAAGTACTTTTTATATCCCAAACCTCGGTCCCCAGGGACAATTGTATTGGGTTGTCATGCTATTTGTAGACTAATCATCTACGCACACACACAAACACATACACACACACTCTAGGCCCATGAGAACTGCATGTGAAAGAGTCTGGATCAACAGGAATCGGTTATTGCATTGTACCTTTCAGGCATCGTCACCCTCCCCAACCCCCCACACCCCCATATTCTTTGAAATGATTTTGTTGCATTATTCATCCTTCAAAGCTGTCATGCTTTGTGGCTAACCCTCTGTCAGTTTGCTCAACATCACAGATGCACCATGAGATGGATCCTTACGCTGTATATTGCAGACAGCTGATCTGACGATGAATTCAGCTGTATCATTTAAAAGCAAGGAAGGCTATACAGCCACATTATTAGATACTGGTGTGACTGCTGAGATCAGGGTACAAAACATGCTTCAACCTCAGACAATCCACACAATTCTGTCACCTTATTGTCACAGCAGCCGAAATCTCTAACTTTGGTCAAATCCTTTGCAACTTGTTACCCTGATTTTCCTTCAGAACACCAAAGCAGGGGCTTGAATGTTACACGGTGCTTTCACTGAATGAGTTACAAATGAGAGCTTCACTGACACTGAGGCTCCTTGCTTGCAAATACTGTAAATTAAAAATGGTCAACTTGCAGCCAGGCAGTAATAGGCAATTCCTCTCAGTTTGACATGAAAAGATTATGCAACAGGTCTAGTACTTGCAGAAGCTATAGAGGCTATACGGCTCATTGTTGCGATATACAGTATTTGAGATGAGGCCAACAGGAGAATGATGTCACGAGTCCGTAAATAAGGGTCCTTTTCTCGGGCACTGCAGAGACCAGGCGGGTGTGGTGACTGCATTAGTAGACGCGCAATCCCCGGCGCAAACGCTCGCGTAAGACCATGATGTGGACATTCCTGTAACGGATTTCCAACATCGCTATGACTGCCTTCTACTTGTCGGACGTGTCTTGAAGTTCAAATCAATCTGATGCCGGAAAATTTGTCAAAATTGCCGACCTCGCTTTATCCCCGACAGCCACAAGGTGCCCATTGACGGTGCGCCTCCCCAAGCCCGTGTTTGATAGAGAAATACATGCACAATGACAATCTGACATCTGCTCTGCTTCTGACAGCAGCTTAGTATTCTCCACAGACACCCCACTCTCCCCCTCTGAGCACCCCATGCCGTTTTTCTATGCCGCTTTCCCTCCGTACCCCACTCTTTCTCATTCCTATGCGGCTTTTTTTCCCCGAGCCAGCTTATTTCCACACACGAACAACAACGGAATTGAACAGCGGCTTCATAAAATATGCAGGTAAAAAGGCAACTCGGAAAGCACCGACATCTCAAGCACAACACTTTTCATGCTCTACTGAGAACTGACCTCCCAGTCTAACGAATCCCACTCTTCGGTAAACATCCGGAGGATTTCTTTTCATCCAAAAAAGCGGACCAGGCGCAGCGGCTCTATGGAGCGACTGGGCGATGCGATGCCATTGCGCTTTTGGTATTATCCTCATGAAATCAATTTGAACAGGGGGACGTCGTCAGAAGAAGGCATCTCGGCGGCGTCGAGACCAACTTGAGCGATACAGATGAACGATGCTACGCTTTACAGTCCAACATTTTTGCTCGGCAATGGTTGCAACCAATTAGCACAGCACTTGCGCTCGGAGGCGAATAGCTCCTGACAAGGCGCTCCTTCTCTTGAGCATCGCTCCTATTTCGGCTGCTGTGCTGCTTTTTGGAAAAAGGTGGCAGACTATACAACACGCGCAACTTCTCATTTCCAGGATATAGGGGGGAATTTAGTGTAGCGCATATTCCAAAGCCAATAAATCCCCGTAGCGCATTTGACAAATCCTTCCCCTCTGCTGAAGAGCAACAATAAAGGAAGCTTTTAAAGGTCCCCGCATGAAGTGCTTCTTAAAACACGTGACTCCATCTATTCCATGGTGAAAAAAGATGCATTTGATCCCTAATAGGCCCTAAGCATGAGAAGACACATTGTGTGTGTGTGTGTGGGGGGGGGGCATGGTTGTGCTAAAATGAATGACACTGGTACCACACAGTAGACTACTCACCATTAGCACAGCAAAGTTATTATGATGGGTGCAATGAATAGTGGTCGTGTTGCCCCCGGAGCCTGTTATGTGGCAGCCCTCTGCCCTCCAGCCACCGTGTCCATCCAGCAGGTCAAAATCCCAATAGGCTGCGGTGGGGTCTACACCCAGTGCGAAGTGCCTGAGAGCGATAGTAACCGAGTGCACGGCGCTCCCGAGGCTGCACCCATCTGCAACAAAAGCAAAGACTTTCAATTAAGCAAACCAAGTGGAAAGTCTGTAAGTGCCACGGCGAAAGAAGCGTGGACATGTGCGCGCACATTCACACCACACAAACTCCTGCGTGCACCACACACACATTATGTAGACATTGCTCAAGTGTCACACTGTTACTGCAGTTGACAGACTGTTGTGTGAAGTGTTGCAGATAAACTTTAATGCCAAATAGAAACCTAAAGTAGACCCTTTTTTTTTTCCAGAAAGAGAACTGCAGCAGTGAAGTGCAGCGTGACGTTAACGTTCATGCAGTTTTACTTCATTCATTTGGGAGGAAATAAACAGCAACGGGGAGGCTAATTGACTTTTGGATTCATTTTGTGCACACTAGGCTGTGGAGCTTGTGTCAACATGTTGCGCAGAGCAAACTGATAGACTGTGTGTGTGTGTGTGTGTGTGTGTGTGTGTAAGCATGTAGTCCGATACAGTGCAGCGTTGACATCACAGGCATGGTGATAGAAATGGATTTCCTCTTACCTAATTTGGTGAAAGCAACTGGTGTTGAAACGCTCCTACGCTTCCCATCGTCTGCGAGATTTGACGAATTCCCCGTGCAAGGAAAGAGTTTCCCATTGCGAAACACAATAAACTGCAGCTTGCAAGTGGAGTTATCAACAGATTGCAACGCAGAGGAGGAGACAGGCGTACCAGCCAGAGGTAAATGGATTGAGGCGACTGCCACTGAGTTCTGCGGATGGAACAAAAAAAGAGAGGGAAATAAAAATTAAATAATGTCTCCGAGATGCGCAGGGGAAAAAAAAACTCCCATAGAAAAAGACTAAGAAATAGCTTTCCTCGCCAGGAGTGGAGGCGACCATAGACCACAAGTGACCAAGGGAATGAGAATCACGTTTGAAGCGCTCTAGTGCGCCTATTTGGTCAGGCTCCCTGCCGCAGAGGTGGAAATGGTTCTTACCAATTCAGCTTGAGGGCACATCAACACTGCAGCTTGATTTAAAGAGACAACCGGTCTGACTTTATCTTCTTTTCACCGACTATAAACACCGGAGAACCCCCGAAAAAACATCCCTGGCAACATTTGGGAAAAAACGGGTTTCTAGGAGAAAGGCATGGATAGGGTATGTCAGGGTGTAGGCACTCGCCATCTTTGAGCACAAGTGAATCCAAACTGATCTTGTAAACTTGTTTTTTATTGCTGTGACTCAAAGCAAAAAGCAAAAAGAAAAAAACTCCCCAGGGCAGCCACACTCAAAATCCCATAAGAGTTGCATCCAAGATCCACAGCCCCTTTGATCTGATATGACCTGTAGCTAATAATTTTGTATACTAAAGTAACATATTCAGCAGGAGTCTATGCCCTGCCCCAAGAACATCTGTGCTAAAATCAGGATCCAGGCTTTTCAAGCTGCATAACAGCTGCAGGAACTTTGCCACAGCTCAGGGTTTAGTGAATTGATGCCCCTGGTGGACAGAAATGTTGTTCAAAGGTGTGTGGAGACTGACTGCACTTAAGACAGGACAGGCAGCACTTAACCCTGCCAAAAGATCAAGTTTAATCATAAAAACAGCTTCCAAAGTGGCACTGTCAGCATAAAGGACGCACACACGTGGCCTCACACCCAACTCCTCCATCCAATCAGCTGATATGACTGCACAGCCTCTATATGTGCTCAATATTTAATACATACAAAAATAGACAGGGAACTACAGGGTACTAAATAAACACACGTTCAAAGGGAGAGAGTTCTACACACGATCACACAGAAAAGTGCTAATCTTCTGGTCAGTGACCGCTTTAAAGTGCACAAAACAACAATTAAACGATTAAACAAAAGCCGTTCTTTCGAATAAACACCAAAAACTGAGGTCATTAACACATTTCTGCAGCGTGAGCGTATTTCTAGGAAGAAAAACACTCAAAGTCCCCACCTATTTATCCAGTAAGAGAGTGACCCTAATGGAAAATGGTGCTAACGATGAGGTCGATGATGATGCGTGTTCATAACAAAGATAATGACTGTGTTACGCGGGCCCTCGCCTCTCTTTCCAAATGAAGGCTGTTTTGTTCAGCTTTCAATCACGTCACCCTCCAGTGTGAGAGGATCAGCACTTTGAGCCTAAAGGGGAGGCAAGCTTCCGGCCAAAGATGAATGTGGATGCCCGTAAAGTGCCCTTACAGTTAATGGGGAGCTGCTTAGTCAGACGTTCGGCCCAATCAATGACGAGGAGAAAGATGGCCAAATTTCTTAATCAAGTTAAACAAGAGCTCCTTTGTCCATTGTCATGTTTCCTATGCTGTACAGTGTGGTGTTTGTTTGATGTGTCCCTGGCAATGACAGGCTTTGTGGACCCCTCAGATACAACAGTCTGGGTTGTTTTGATCCTCCTGGGTCTTCTATTATCTCGGAAAAATAATTTGGTGACAAAGAGCAACGGCGTGCTTAAGTACAATCCCCCTACATTACTACCCATCGTGTGTGAGGAGCCAGTGGTGATGTTACAGCATTGGATTTGTTAGCTATTAGTTTCTGCATTGACTCACTCTTGAAGGCTATTGATTTTCATCCTGCAGCGTGTGTATGTGTGGGGAGAGGAAGAAAGACAGAGAATCCTTGTCTTGAAATTTATGTTGCATCATTTTCTCCAAACAGCTTAAGCTTGGCAGTCTGTTTCCAGGACATCATAGGATACAGACGTCAGGGATAGAGGCGGAGAGGATTTGAGCCTCTGTGACAATCGAGAGATGGGAGAGAGTTAAACGCAGGGCCAGCGCGCCATCTGCGGGGGCCCCTGCTCATACATCGAACACAGATGTCAGGTGACCTTCATCCCACCGAGGAGGAACGTTTTCGAGGCGTACAACTCACAAAAAGAAATCTTATCTCGTATACTTGTCTCCTCATCTCTTTTTACATCTTTTATCCTCTTTTATGTGGCGTATCAAAGGGATTTACAGCCCAGAGGGTGTGCTACAAGCCATGGCGTGCACAAGGTCCCGTTCTAAGCGACAATCTATGTTCCTCCTGAGCAACCTAAACAGCTACATTTCCTCAACCCCAACACCAACGGGGACCTCACACTTCAGAGTTGATTTAGCTGGTTGTACCTCAGCCGTCTGACCTTCCTCCAAGCCCCTCCCTCTCCAGCAGGGCAGCATGCTGTAGCCTTAGTAACCATAATCACACACTCCCCACCGTCTCTCGCTCTAGCCTCAGGATCATTCTCCTTTTTCCCTTTTTTCCCCCGCTTATTCCTTTCCTTGCAGAGGGCATCCAGGTGAATGTCAGCAGTCACCTCTTATTTTCAGGCTGTTCCCTCTCGTCCACCTCCCTCCCTCCGCCCGCCCTCCTCCACCTGCTCCTTGATGCACGGCCCTGCTCGGCAGAACCACAAAGCTGCAACAAACAGCCCGCGGGGCAAAACACAACAGTGGCGTTTGACCTGGGGCAGCCACCAAATCACAGCATAAACATCACGCTTAAACATAGCTCCGTGATTTCACAGAGGGATTACTGTCGAATGCGTTTAGGCAAAGAGGTGAAAATTAAGAGAGCCAGTAAGTGTTTTTTTTTTATTGTATAATCCATAATTAGAAAAAGCTACAGCTCTGTGCCTTTGTAGATATATCTGTGGGAGAGATACATTTATTTATTTGCGCAGGCGGCAACTTGAAAATTAACTATAAATAAAATGAATTTGGCTCAAAGGGCATCTCGCTGAGCTCGGCCCCAGCCGAGAAGAACTGCTGACGAGCACGATGGGAGATTTGCATAATTTTTGTGTAATCATTGGCAGTCCTGTCAGCGCAGACGTGGTCAAAGACACAGTGACCATGACAAATAGGTAGACATCAGGAAACTTCAGGAGGTCATTTCTAACCCATGATGTTTGAGATTCTGAAAATAAATCAAAGTTTGCTCACAAGCAACATTTTAGCAAGACCTTGGACACACGCCTCTGCTGGAGCTACTTTCGAGGTTTTGTTTTTTTCCCCACATTAAACAAAAGAAACATAATTCTCTAAAAGTGATTGCCATGGTTGCAGCTTAAAAAGCGTTTTCCTCTTGAGCATTATTATGTCGTAGTGTTGTTAGCATTACTTATCAAGAAAAATTAAACACAGCCCTACACGGTTGCCATGCCAACAAGAGTCTGTTTCCTCCAGACCAGTTGTGTTGGGGGGGGGGGGGGTGTTACCATTTGAGCAGATTTGAAGCAGGAAATCAGGCTCTTTGGAGAGGCAGAGCTGTGCTTCAGCTGTCAGCTACACTTTCCTCAGTCAGGTCTGACTCAAACTGTCACATCACAGGGTTGTGTCTTAACAAAAACATTCAAGAGGCTGCAACAGATGGACAACATTGTTTGATTAAAAAGGCCTTGTGGATTACAAATTAATGAATATATTGTGTGCGTAAAAGCATAACTAATATATTAGCTGCAGGGTGATTGATAATGAGCCAGAAGGAGCCAAGTGTTTGAGACGGAACAGATCTTAGAAAGGAAATTCACAGACGTTCAGCATTAATTCATGCAAATATATGAGTCTCTCCACAGAACATCAGTGGCCATTGTTGGCTTCCTCCATATCCAGAAATGTATTGTAAGAGTTTGTCTCATCAGGCTCCTGATGCCACGTCAGTGTAGCCTACAGTACATGCCCATTATTAGTGAAGGCGAAGATGACTGTGACTCAGTACAAAATGTCTCTTGAAAGCGCATATTTTCATGCAGCGCTGTAATGTTAAGAAAACCGTTTGGGCACACAAAGAAAAACATTCCTCTGAGTCATCTCCAATTATTCTTAAAGGGTAAATTCACCCAAATCACAAAATAATATATCCTAACTTGTCTCTGGTAGTATCAAGCCATGCAGATTTTCTGTTCAATGTGCAGTGATTTTAAGATATTCAGCTCTGAAACTAGTTCTTGGATAGGGCACAGTTTACTGTGAGGTCTGTGGATTTATCCACAGTGAAAGGGACACAGTTTATGGAAAGCATCCTTATAGCCAGATAAAATGTTGATATTGGACGATTCTGTAAAACCACAGATTATGTTAAATGACTCCATGTTTTTTACATCCATGTTTTAATGATATAAGATTTCTTGGGTTTTATTAATTTACTATAACGGGCACACTACTTCCTGCAGTGGCACTGCTTCCAACTTTTGTGTTGGATATAAATCGTGTGGTAAAGAATCATCCAGTATGGGTGTAAGACCGAGGGATAGTAGGCTGTGAAAAGACAAGTTGCGTCTGAGTTTGTCAAATGTACTTAATTTACATTGACCACCACCATATTATCTTAATTCAAAAGTTCTGAATTAATGTCCACATTACATTTTTTGGGATGGTTGATACCGGTTGAAAAATAACTAAACCTCGGAGCTTTGTGGCCCAGATTAAGAACAGGGACATAATCTTTCTTTACCAGAGCCAAAAAGAAGCTACATCCATTCAAAAGTGGTGAGGCTGCAAAAGTGACAAGCATGGATGAGATCAAAGAAGCTCCAGTGGTTGTTGTAAGACAAATCTGACAGAAATAACTCTTACATTTTCAATTGTTGCAACAAATGTTAACTTAATAATAATCTTAATTTATATTTGAAGCAAGAAGTTAATGGCAGTCCTAGGTTATATTTTGTAGCTCAGAGCTCTGATAGCACCATCGCAACACCAGACGGATATATCGAACCATATCGTGGTTTAATCACACTTCCCACAGT